AGGAGTCCAGACCCCCAGCCCCTCCTCCCTCAGACCCAGGAGTCCAGGCCCCCAGCGCCTCCTCCCTCAGACACAGGAGTCCAGGCCCCCAGCCCCTCCTCCCTCAGACCCAGGAGTCCAGGCCCCAGCTCCTCCTCTTTCAGACCCAGGAGTCCAGACTCCAGCCCCTCCTCCCTCAGACCAAGGAGTCCAGGCCCCAGCCCCTCCTCCCTTCTCCTGGGCCCCTCACCCCACGATCGTGCAGCTTCATGCGTAGGTCCCAGTCGCTGACACCGCGCCGGGCGTCGTAACGCGAGCCCAGGTAGTGGCGCAGCCGTGAGTCCCAGAGGCGGCTCATGGGGAAGGCCTCGGGCCCCTTCTCGCCGCCAGCCCAGAAGCGGAACACTGCCTCCAGGGCGTCCCGCTCACGGAACTGCGGGGTCAGGCACGCGCAGGGAGAGAGCAAGGCAGAGAGGGATGCAAGGAAAGCAGCTTCTAGTTGACCCCTTTCTTCCATCCCAGGACGGGGGAACGATTCTCCCATTTCCCGGATGAAAAAACTGAGGATTCTAAAGCAGAAGCCACCTCCTGCCCCCAGGCCAAATCTCACAGCGGGAGTCGCGGAGCTGGGATTCGAACCCCTGAGTCCGCCGCCTGCTCCATCAACGCACGTCCTTTGGACTGCGCACTTCCATTCTTCCCGCGGCCACCCCATCCCAGGCAGTGACCGGATGGAGGTCGGGCGGCCGCACCTTGAGGGCGCGGAGGCTGAGCCAGGGCAGCTGCTCCCCCAGGCGGTCGGGCTCGGGGACCAGGTGGGCCAGCAGGTCTGCCTGGGCGCGCACGAAGGTGGCCACCGGTGGGCGCAGCAGCGCGTTCCCCCACACCTCCAGGAAGGTCTCGCTCCGCTCTAGGGAGAGGAGGAGATGATTGGGGGAATGTGCGGAGGAGAGAGACCAGAAATTAGACCCTTCCTATGTTATTATGTCATAGTCATATAATGAAAACAATGAACCCCAGAAAACTCCCCATGCATCCTAAAAACATGCATGAAGAACAAGACAGGGCATGGTGGCAGGTGCCTGTAATCCCAGCTAGGGAGGCTGAGGTAGGAGAATCGTTTGAACCGGGAGGTGGACATTGTAGTAAGCCGAGATGGCATGCCAGCCTTGGCAACAAAGGGAGACTACGTCAAAAAAA